TGCCCATGCCAGGCACGAAACTTTGTTTGCCCGCAACTAACTGGAAATGGAGCATTCGCTGGAGACTATTCCAATGTTTGCCCAAAATGCCTGCATGCAGCCAGCGTAGCCCAAGCCGGAGCTGCAGCTGGAGCCCGACCTCGACAACAAAGGCGGCATTACATCAGCGCAACTTTAGCGCTTGACGTTGATTGAATCGACATCGGCATCGACATCGGCATCGGTGAGTAAGTCAACAACATTGGAAACATGTTAATCAACACTGTTCGTAGCGGTCTGAGTGAGTGTAGTATCTACATACATATCTATGCACACTTTGTCACTCTTCCCTCACATTGAGGCCGAGTACATGGCACATCGATAAAGCAACCGATCATAAATAGTCAAAGGAAATCAATTGAACAAAAACTAATAATGAGCCAGCCAACCCATGATTATGTATATGCCAATGTCTTTACAGTTGTTGCTGTCATCCAAGAAATATCTTTAAATGCAGGGGCAGGGACCAACTGTAAAAAAAAAGTCTAAAGTAGTTGCCACCCGACAAAACTACAAATATTCGATTTCATGCTGTAGACTTCTAGATATTATAAATGGTACATCCAATTGCATAATTTGCAAGTGTTTTAAGTAAATAAATAATATAATAAATTTAACAACATTTTTTGAAAAGTTCTGAAAATGTTGGTCTTTCAAAAAGCCTAAACCTAACCTTAAGCGTGATATAGTTCAATCAAAGTCAAGCATTGACTGTGCATACATTTTTTGTTCAACTCCCTGAGGAATTCCAATGAGATCCCAAGTAAACAATATGTAAATTTTACTTATATTTTGTTTCAATGCACATCAGTGTTCGGTAGATGACTTGTCCCAAGTCATTCAGTCTTCCGAAAAACAAGTAGCCGGGTTCCAGTATCTGGTTTGTGGTTAAATGTAGCTAAAGGCCATTGTAGCAAGTGCTAAAAAGTTATCCTGATATTTTATGAACATATCCTATATTTATAATAATAACTATAATTTCTAATAATTTCACACTAGCTCCATTTACATATTCTCGAAAAGAAAAAACACTTTTTTACTTGCTCTAATCGTTTGATTTTTCATTTGGCTAACGACAATTTTGTCACCTGTAGAGTCCAGTGTGTTGTCAATTTGTGTTGTCGTCTTCATCAACTTCGTTGTTGTTGTTGTTTTCGTCGTCTTCGTCGTCGTTAGTGTTGTTGTTATCGTGCATTCAATTGAAATTTGTAACACGTACAACAAATTTGACTCTGCGCGTTGTCTGTACGAGCCGAGCTTGCATGTAATAAATTTTTTATGTAGAAATTGGCAATGCGGCCGCAACAAGATAAAGAGTCGAGCATTACCACACACACAGACACACACACACACACAAGTACGCTGAGCATACACAGCACGCATACTTACTCAGAAAGCCAAGTGAATTGTATAATCAGTTGTGACACATTTCCGCCGCATAGACGAACCCAATGACCACTTGCCCCTGCCCCTGCCCCAGCCGCTGCCACAAGTCAACATTTTGTGTATGTTGTGTTGGGCGTGGGCGTGGCCGTGGCAGAGCGATTGCAATTTTGTATGAAACATAATACGAATATTAGTCATAAGGATAAATGATACATATACTCGTTACACGGGGTGAGTCAGCAGCCGCTGGGAACTACGCGCAGCTCAACAGACAAAGTCATATATGTAGCTGACGCTTGGGATTGGGACAACACACCTTAAAGGCGTGTTAATTAGCGTAAACTCTGGCCATATGACAAATTAGCAGTTAGCTGTGGCGCTGCCACCCCGGTAAATATTGGTAATGAGGCAGTAAATCGTTCGGTGTCTCTATTTGCACATGTCTCGCGTCTCTCTCTCTCTCTCTCTCACTCTCTGTCTGTCTGTCTCCGCGGACAGATGCACCGGGGCGTACGCACTTGGTTCGGGGGCAAAGTGAAAACCTGCACAGAAAAGCTAGCAAATAAACCGATCAAAATAAACTTGGGGAGTGCATTAACATATAGTACTACATAAACGTTGTTATCGGCGCAATAAAGTAACTGTTAATCTGAGTTCATGAAACTCTGCACGCAAAAAACCAAACCGAAGAAAGCTTAAAGACTTTTGCATAAGGACAAACGACAAGTGGGAGCGCCAAAATAATAAAAATAAAAAAGAGAAAAACAAGAGACAAAGTTGCCATACAACTGTGGCACTTGCATGCGACGCAATAACGCAATAAACGCATTAAAAATCACTTTCGCTGCATTTGTGCACAGTGGTATCAAGGCCGGCAATTTCGTTTCTCAACTGAAGCTGAGTCAGATATTATTTCAGTCTTTATATAAAAAAAAAAAATTGCATTTTTTGATATCTTTTCGACAAAAAATGTACTTTATAATTGAATAATAAATCAACATTTATGCATGTATACATTATCATTAATTGATTTCATAATACTTATCACGTATTGTGCACACTGTACGTGTGGTAAGTAAATATGTATCTTCATTTTTCATCATTTGCTGCATTTAACATTCCAAATGCACTGATGTCATTGTATGTGGTATTCACATACAAATATAAATGCGAAATCAACTGTCATTTCCAATGCCTCACGAACCACTGTACGCGTCGTGCTGCACGACTTTTGAGTGACACTGTAAATTGTTTGGCATATGCATTAATAAACGGAACGTCATATGGGCTTTGTCTAAGTGTAAAGAATGTTTAAGTGGATGCATAAGTAGCCTCCTCCATTCCCCTTGCCATTGCCCTTCGTACTCCGTGCACTTAAAGTGCACTTGATAAAAACCAAGCGCAGCCACGAAAAATAACAAAAACAACAAACGCAATTGTTGTTGCTGTGTGTGAATGGGCACAGAAACAACTAAAACAACAACAACAACGACGACTGCAGACCTAATAAACGCAACCCAATGAATTATGTGCCTGCCTACCCACTTCTTTCATCCAACTTAAGACATGCAAGTGGCAAGCGGCAAGCGGGCTGATAAGCCATAAAAATATGTGTGCACATGTATTTACATATACATACATATAAATAGATACATACATATGTACATACAAGACAGACACTCAAAATGCAAGACTTTGCGGCAATTACTGCTGACACTCCCACGCACAGGCCGAAAAGACAAACAACAGCAATGCTTTGTGCGACTGTCTGGCAACTCTGTTTCTGATTGACATAAACAAAAGCAAAGTCAGCATAGTTGAAGGCAGCGAGCGGCCACTTAAATGCGGAACAAGTCGAGCTCGGTCTCTGTTTCTTTCCCTCTCTCTTTTACATACTCATCAACTGGACTGGCTGCATTAGTCATCGCAGCAGCAAAAGCTCTGATTAATAAAATCAACAACAACAAAAATCCACTTTCAAGTGTCAATCAGTGCGAGTGCCAGTATTATTTAGCGTGCGACACCCCCGCACAATGTCCGTCCCGCCTACGCTGCACTTATTGTTATTTTGAAGCAGCGCGTTTCTCTCTTAGTTAGTTATCCTTTTTATCGTTTCGCTTGCCACGACGAATTTTTATGAGTGCGCGCGCGCGCTCGTAACAATGCCACATTGTGTTTGGATTAACGCTACGCGCGTGCGCTCCCGCGCCTCTCGCTTAACTGTTAATAAACGCAAATGCATTAAGCGACGAGTGGGCGGACGAAGACGAAGTAGAAGCAATTACAGTTGGCAAATCGAAAAGCTACACCTGAAAACTATTAAACGTGTGAGCGCGATTGTGTCCATGTATGTGTATAAGTACTATAAAGAAATTGTACACAATTACAGCTGCCCCTTGAACCAGACAGCGGGGCCAAATAACATCGCCGCTGATGATGTACAGTGGACGCTCCCTTGGACAGACATCTTATTTTGCCGCCCAACGTTTTTTTCATTATTTTTCCAAAACAACTACACTCCGGCATGGAGGCTACTTTAACTGGACGCAGACACTATTAACTATCTAACTCTACATATTTTTAAAGCGGTATATTCCCTAGCAGGACAAAAAACGGAATGCAAATCCCGGATGTCCGCCCAAAATGGCTTTCACTGTATTTGCTCTTCGTCTCCGGCTAACGGGCTGCTGGCGGCTGCTGAGTCGTAGTTTTTCACGCTCTCCCATCTTTGCAAGTGTCTCTGTATGTGTTTGTGTTTTTATTTTAAGCTGAAACTGGTTTCTGTTTGCCTTCTTGGCTCTGTCGTGTTGTCATACTATGAAAATACTTACGTCCATGCATACCCACATATATTTGAATGTATGGGTATGTACATACATATATATTATTCAAATGTTATTTTCGCGAAATTCATATGAAATTCCAAGTAAAGTGAAAGAAGCATGCGTTGTCTTGCCGCTACCTAGTTTGACGCGGATTAGTCATGTTGTAGAAGGAGGGGGTTTGGAAGGGGGAATGGCGGGTAGGCAGACATTGAACTTGTGCGTCAGCAGGGGCAAGGCGCATGCGCTGCTGCTGCTGCGGCTTTGATTTTGCACTGGCTCGTCTGCATGCACAGCAAGACATGGCGTGGCCACCACCCAAGGGAACTTGTTTTCCCCCATGCACTGCGTCGCGCTCCCCCACGCACACATACACACGCATATATTTATACTTATGTACATATGTACACATGCATGCTGGCTGGAGCATTACCGTTAGCTGTTGTTGATGTCGCTCTCTTCATGGGGGGTTGTTGAAGGCCACTGTCGCTGCCGAAGTCAACGTTGACGCCGACGCCCACATGCACCGGTTAACGGTATTGCGACGCAGCGCACCGCGCTACTTTATGACTCATGCATTTGGGATTCAAGCTCCTCCTCCCCCACCCAACCCTTTACAGTGTCGCCAAAAAAAAGATTACAGTTGCACATATCGATTTAACATTTGAATATATGTTTATACATACAGACCCGTGTGTATATGTTAGTATGTGAATTTTGTTATGCTAAGCGTCATTTAGATTCTTAACTTACCTCTGTGAATTTCTCTTTTATCTCGGCCTTTTCATCATTGGATAAAGTTTTTGTAAATTTGTTTAGTGTTGCCATTTTGTTATTATTGCTCTTGTGTTGTTGTTGTTGTTGGTGGTGCTGCTGGTTGCTGTTGTTCTTGTTGCTGTTGTGTTTTCTTAATTGTTATATTGGCTATTATTTAAATAAATTATAACGTTAATTTCACTTTATTGCTACAGTCGCTGCCTCCGTCGCTGTCGCCGTTTTGCCGCTCTCTTATTGTTTTTGTTGTGCGAAAAACTGCGCTTGCTGCGTCGCGTCGCGTTGTGTCGCGTCGCTGCCGTCTGTTATGCTGTGTTGGTGGTGGGTTTGTTTGCTTGTTGGAGCTGGGCTTGGGTGGGAGGGGGGCCAACAGTGACACTTTCTTTTGGGTGGCGTTGGCGGCGGCTGCGGCTTTTATTTATGGCTGTTATTGTTGTTAATTCTTTTACGCTACTGCGCTGGATAATTGCTATTTAGCTATTTTCTCAATTTTGTTATTGCTTGCTTTTCGCCTCTTTCTTTCTATGTATGTTTTGGCACACGATGCACGATTTTTGCACTTAACAAAATATGAACCTACAAAATCTGGTCTCACTCTCCACTTGTATTTACACGTTGCTCTAAGCTCAGCTTATATGCTTCTTTTTCGACTTCGGCGGTTTTTGCCGGCTTCTGTTTGCGTACACTTTGTTATTTGATAATCAATAACAATAACTCGACAACTTATGGATTGCTGGCAGGGCACACGAACCATGCGCAAGAAAGTCTGAATTAAAACTGATATGGCGATAAACAGTGTGACAGCTAGTGGCATACGAAAATATCTACATAAAATACTAACATTATCTTTATATATTTTCAAAATATGCCCAAAAAATACTTTTTTTTTTTAATTGTGTGCAATTAACATTATTAATCATTTTAAAACAAAAATGGTCGAAAAGTAGTTGAGGGGGGGGGGGGGGTAAAAAACGATTTTTCCTAACCATATAAATATTTTATATTTTACATAAGAGCAATGAAAAGCTTAAGAGCAATGAAAAGCTAATATAGCGTAGGAGACATATTAGCGGCGTTGCTTAGCATCAGGAATAAAATTGCAATCCGGCTAGTGCAAAATTTTAATAAGCGAATAAGGTTGTATTTAAAAAAAAAAATACCTATTGACTACGGGTAAAAAGCTGTTAAAGTATTTTAAACGAATATTTCGCAAGCCACAATTTAAAACTAAACATGAGAACAGATTCAAGACGCAAATTAGAGTCAACACAATGCTGTTAACGCAAATATGAGTCAAGCTGTTAAATCACCATACAAAAATTACACAGAGCTGTTAAAGGCCAACGCCAAATCAAAACTAGCTGGCAACCCTGTGCTGGCGCAAATAAAAATATTGTGGTGTAGCTGTTTATTTATGTGTTTTGTGTCAAAATAAAATGCACATTAAACAGGTGGGTAAACAGCACGACGCCAACTGCTCGATTGTCTCCCGCTTATTATCGAACATTTGCAGATTATAATACAAGGCTTTAAAAGTTACAAGGACCAGACGGTGGTGGAGCCATTCGATAAGCGTCACAACGTCGTCGTCGGACGCAATGGCTCTGGCAAAAGTAATTTCTTCTACGGTAAGCTTACTCTGTTTATTGAATTGTGCTTACCATTGAATGATTTATATTTATCTTAATATAGCTATACAATTCGTGCTGAGCGATGAGTTCACGCATCTCCGTCCGGAACAGCGTCAAGCCCTGCTCCACGAGGGCACGGGCGCCCGCGTCATATCGGCCTATGTGGAGATAATATTCGACAACTCGGACAATCGTGTGCCGGTAAGTGGGCAGCTGCATTTATATGGGATATGTTGATAATTTAGCTGGTTAAATTTCTTGCAGATCGACAAGGAGGAGATTTACTTGAGGCGCGTTATTGGCGCCAAAAAGGATCAGTATTTTTTGAACAAAAAGGTGGTGCCACGCAATGAGGTGGTCAATCTGCTCGAATCGGCCGGTTTCTCCAGCTCCAATCCCTACTACATTGTCAAGCAGGGTAAAATCAATCAAATGGCCACCGCCGCGGACTCGTATCGGTTGAAGCTGCTGCGCGAGGTGGCGGGCACGCGTGTCTATGATGAGCGCAAGGAGGAATCGTTGAATCTGTTGAGGGAAACCGATGGCAAGGTGGAGAAGATTAGCGAATATCTAAAGACCATTGAGGATAGGCTGCAGACGCTCGAAGAGGAGAAGGAGGAGCTGAAGGAGTATCAGAAATGGGACAAAACAAGACGCACCCTGGAGTACATACGGTACGAGACCGAGCTGAAGGATACGCGGCGCGCGCTCGAGGAGCTGCTATTGCAGCGCAAATCTTCCTCGGACAAGAAGAAGAACTATAACATCGAGATACAAAAGGCACAGGAGAAGATCAAGGAGGTGCAGAAGAACCTAAAGGAGGCCAAGAAAAAGGTGCTCAGCACCAAGGAGGAACGCTCAGTCCTAATGACAGAACAGCAGCAATTGCTGCGCGAAAAGACCAAACTAGACCTGACCATCGTCGATCTGAATGACGAGGTGCAGGGTGATAACAAGTCAAAGGAACGCGCCGACCAAGAGCTCAAGAATCTCAAGGTGACCATAGCGGAGCGCGAAAACGAACTGGACGATGTCAAGCCCAAATACGAGTCGATGAAGCGCAAAGAAGAGGATTGTTCGCGCGAGCTGCAGCTCAAGGAGCAAAAGCGCAAGGAGCTTTATGCCAAACAGGGGCGTGGCTCGCAGTTCTCGTCACGCGAGGATCGCGACAAATGGATACACAATGAGCTGAAATCGATTAGCAAACAGACCAAGGACAAAATCAATCATCACGCCAAATTGGTCGAGGATCTGAAAAAGGATGCAACCTCCGAGAAAGATCTGGGCACCAAAATCGAGGAGCACTCCTCCGAGCTGGAACAGCTGCGCCTCCAAATCGACGAGCACAACAAAAAGTACTACGAACTGAAGAAAACAAAGGACCAACACCAGTCCATGCGCAACGAGCTGTGGCGCAAGGAGACACAAATGACCCAACAGCTGCAGACCCAAAAGAAGGAGCTGTCGCGTGCGGATCAGGCGCTGCGCAGCATGGCCGGCAAGCCCATACTCAATGGCTGCGATTCGGTGCGCAAGGTGCTCGATAGCTTTGTGGAGCGCGGCGGCCAATCGGCGGCAATAGCACGCGCCTATTATGGCCCGGTTATTGAGAACTTTAGCTGCGACAAGACAATCTATACGGCTGTCGAGGTGACCGCTGCGAATCGGCTGTTCCATCACATTGTGGAATCGGAATACGAGGGCACACAGATCCTCAAGGAGATGAACAAACTGAAGCTGCCCGGCGAGGTGACGTTCATGCCGCTGAATCGGCTCCAAGTGAAGATACACGACTATCCCGATGATCCGGACTCGATACCAATGATATCGAAGCTCAAGTACGATGAACAGCACGACAAGGCGTTGCGCTATATCTTTGGCAAGACGCTGATCTGTCGTAATCTGGAGCGTGCCACGGAGCTGGCCAAGAGCACGGGCCTGGATTGCGTTACGCTCGATGGCGATCAGGTGTCCTCGAAGGGCTCCCTCACCGGCGGCTATTTCAATACATCGCGTTCCCGTCTCGAAATGCAAAAGAAGCGCACCGAGTACACGCAACAGATAACCGAGTTCGAGAAGCAGCTGAGCAAGCTGCGCAATGAGCTCAAGTCAACCGAGAACAGTATCAATTCGATAGTGTCCGATATGCAGAAGACGGAGACCAAGCAGGGCAAGTCGAAGGATGTGTTCGAGAAGGTGCAGGGCGAGATACGTTTGATGAAGGAGGAGCTGGTGCGCATCGAGAAATATCGTGCGCCCAAAGAGCGTTCCTTGGCGCAATGCAAGGCCTCGCTGGAGGCGATGAACAGCACCAAGGCCAGCCTGGAGGCGGAGCTAAAGCAGGAGCTCATGTCAACGCTATCCAAGCAGGATCAGGGCGAAATCGATCAGCTCAACGAAGATATACGGCGTCTCAACCAGGAGAATAAGGAGGCCTTCACGCAGCGTATGCAGCTGGAAGTGCGCAAAAATAAGCTGGACAATCTGCTGATTAACAATCTGTTCAGGCGACGCGATGAGCTGATACAGGCGCTGCAGGAGATCTCTGTGGAGGATCGCAAGCGTAAGCTGAACAATTGCAAAACGGAGCTCGTTTCGACGGAGAAGCGTATCAAGAAGGTCAATGCGGATCTGGAGGAAATTGAGAAGCGTGTCAATGAGGCTGTCCAGTTGCAGAAGGAGCTGCAGCAGGAGCTGGAGTCGCATGTGCGCAAGGAGAAGGAGGCCGAGGAGAACATCAACAAGGATAGCAAACAACTGGAGAAATGGACCACCAAAGAGAATATGCTGAATCAGAAAATCGACGAGTGCACCGAGAAAATTGCCAGCTTGGGCGCACTGCCCCAAGTGGATGCCGCCTACACACGCATTTCGCTGAAGAACATCTTTAAGGAGCTGGAGAAGGCCAATCAGCATCTGAAGAAATACAATCACGTGAACAAGAAGGCGCTCGATCAGTTCTTGAGCTTCTCCGAGCAAAAGGAGAAGCTCTACAGGCGCAAGGAGGAGCTTGATGTGGGCGATCAGAAGATACACATGCTCATCCATTCGCTGGAGATGCAAAAGGTCGAGGCCATACAGTTTACATTCAGGCAGGTCGCCCAGAACTTCACCAAGGTCTTCAAGAAACTGGTGCCACAGGGCGCCGGATACTTGATACTGAAGACCAAGGACAACGAGGGCGAGGAAATGGAAAAGGAGGTGGCCAATTCGGATGCCTTCACGGGCATTGGCATACGCGTCTCCTTTACCGGCATCGATGCTGAGATGCGCGAAATGAATCAGCTATCCGGTGGCCAGAAATCTCTAGTTGCCCTCGCCCTCATCTTCTCCATACAGAAGTGCGATCCGGCGCCCTTCTATCTATTCGACGAGATCGATCAGGTAAGCTTCCTACTTCCTACTAATTGTTTGAGCTACATTAACTGAGCACCTTCTCCCTTCAAACAGGCACTGGACGCAATGCATCGCAAGGCGGTGGCCGATATGATACACGAGCTAAGCGACACGGCACAGTTTATTACCACCACGTTCCGGCCCGAATTACTGGAGAATGCGCACAAGTTCTATGGCGTACGCTTTCGCAATAAGGTCAGCCACATTGATTGTGTTACCCGCGAGCAGGCCAAGGACTTTGTCGAGGATGATAATACACACGCTTAGACACGTAACGCAACACACTGCCAAACAATTCTTTACCCCCTACCCCCTACCCCAACCCCTGCCTCCTCACAACCCCTCCCCACACACATTCAAGCATTTCTTAGTGATTAGGCTTAATTGGTTTTTCATAATTCTTATAATTATCATAATTTTTTTTTATATTTTTCAATTTGATTTTCCTTAAAACTACATTTTTAAAGCCTTAAGTCTGTTTGTATTGTAATTGTCCTTGCTATATACACTTGACCTGGCTAAGCAAAGTCTCCCAACATTTTTATTAATATATGTATCTGATTTGTGAAGAGGCTTGCTTCCATCAAGTACACAGTATATGTATGTACTTGTAATAAAAGGCAAAGTGAGATATACATATATACTTATAAATATATATACACTACACGATTATTTTACACATGGATTGCGCTTTCCTAAAACGGGAAACACGTATCCATCATTTTATTTTATTGAAGGTTTTTAGAATAAGTTCCCCTTTTCCACCCGGAAGTGGTGGATTTTCCGAAATGTGCGGAACACGTCTCCAATGAATTCTTCCATAATGGTCAGCCACATCTAGAAGTATAAGCTATTGATATTCCATGGGCTATGGATATAAAAAACATTCGTTTATTGACTATAAATCCATTTGAATGAATCTCGCGAATTAACAAGGTATAAAAATCAACTCTTAATATAAATATGTCTCGAATTTGTTGTGCTAAATGCAGCATCAATTATAAGGTTAACAATGCCTCGTCACGTCCTCGGCCATCATCTGCTGCCGTCGAGCAGCTCCTGCGTGGCATTGATGGCGAAAATGACAGAGAAACACATGCCAACAGTTTCCACCTCCAGGGCTGTGATATTGTAGCGCAGTGTTAAGCGCCAGAGCACAAAGTTGTTGAGCAGAACCAACAGGGCCAAGCCCAAGGACCACCAGTACTCATCGAATATGGCAATGCGCCAAAGGCAATAGACATTCCAGAGCACGCACACCGTGAGATTGAAGCGTTCCAATTTGACCAGAACCGTGGCCAGCGTCGACCTCTCGCTGAGGCAGCTGCGCACGCTGGCCAGTGTCAAGATGCTGGCGTACAGGATGAGGACTACGTAGCGCCAACTGCTGCTGCCAGCACTTGGCTGATTGGCATCCGAAATGCTTTGCAGCTGACCGACGATCAGTGTGACGAAGATGACCGGCGCATAGCGTAGAGATTGGTCGCAAATTCGCCGCTGCACCTGGCCGGGATTGGGATGCGTGTAGCGCAGAATACAGAAGACGCTATGTGCAAAGAATAGTCCATAGGCGACCAGAGCATGACGGCCAATGCTGTAGTGTTTGAGTGCCCATCCGGAACTGACGGCCAATATAAAATTAAGCAGGCCCAAGGATAGCTTGGAAGATAGCGAACTAATGGCACTGAGAGCCATAAAGACAGATGGTCAAAACAAGCAAACAAACTAAACTAAACCAAAATTGCTATTGTTATTGTTGTCAATCGAGCTGCCGCGGCGATATACATATCGTCATTTTTCAAATTAATCGATAAACATAAAACGGACATTTTAGTGTTGGTTAATACTTTTAAGCTACACTTGCTTAGCGATCGTTGGGCAAATAATAATAATTGTAAATACACTTTCGCTGCAATCTAAGGCCAATTTATGTAATTCAATTATTATCTTAATACAAAAGCCATAAGTGTAGCAGTTTTCAAATATTAATTATTTTTCAAGATCTTTGGTACACCTACGAGCATTAGTTCGTGAACTACCATCACTAAGCGAAACGGATGCTCAATTTGTTTTTGGACGCCCGCGAGAGATTTGTATTTTTGTTTTTGGTACATTTCGCGTTGCTGCTCTTTTGCCGAATTTGTACAGTTAGTTTCGAAAAACGCCAGCAAAATGGCGAATCCGAATGGATTTAAACTGTTCAGAACAGTTGATCCGACGACAGTCAATGTACCGATCAAAGAAAAATTCGCTAAACTGACGCTCTCCTCAAGCAAGAAAAAGCAGCTAGCAAAAAAGGAACAGGAACCGAAGTCTCAATCGGAAGCGGAGGCCCTTAAAAGCCACAACGTGAGCCGCCAACTGTTGGCCGAGCTAAATGATCTCGATAAGCAAACGACTGCCAAATCCTACGAGCATCCACTTTTGCGCAGCGACTCCTCATCGTCCAACGCCATGGGACAGGAGCACACGCCCCAGGCACTGCAGGATGGGAGCTCAAGCCCGATGTCTCCGACTATATGGAAGCATTGCAGCTGAGCGGTGACGGCTGCACACAACAACGTTCACTCGTCCTGGACGTGGAGGCTTTATCCACGCAGGTGTCCAACTTGACAATGCAGCCGGAAAAAAAGCTGCCGCAGGAGGTGTCCATTTGCATATCATCAACAACCGAAGAGGGCGACGACGAATCCTGCATCACCATATCAGATTCCAGTGACAGTGAGCAGCAGGAGCAGGCGAAGCAGCCACCGGCTCAGGAGACAAGCATGACAGTGAGCGGGCAGCTGGCACCAACAGCAGCAGCAGAGCAGCTGCTTCCGGATCCGCTGTCCAATGACAAAGTGAAGCTCATTGAGGCTTTTCTGCGCGACGTATCCTTTGAGCGCCGCGAGAGAATTCGGCGAGGACAATCAGATGTGTCAGCCGAGCACACGCGCCTGGCCAGTGCGGACACGGAATCGATGAGCCAATTAGACGTCGATCTAACACAACTGCCGTCTCGCCCAAACACTCCCACTTCCACGCCGAAAGCGCAACTGGACAGCAGCAAACGCTTGGCGGATAATGACACGGAGATAAACACGTTGTGCTCCGAGGAACGTTTCGAACTAGACAACAGCAAACGGCTGGCGTCGAATGAGACAGAGGTCAACACGCCCGACCCAGAGGAGCCGCTGTCCGAGCTGTCCGCTCAACAGTCCACGCTAAACGAGGTGCATCTGGATGAGACCATACCGGAGACCAGCAGCGAGGTGGAGCCGTCGCCGCTAAGGCCCAGCTCATCCTCATCGGCTGAGGAGGTGGCGAGCATGCCTGCCATACAAGTGAGCAGTATTAATATATCGGCAAAGATCAACATTAAAATACACATACCCAACATGGACTCGAGCTCAGCCGAGTCCGACCATTCGGAGCAAAGCTATGTACAAGCCGTGCCATCAGCAGAGGCACGCGCAGAGCCACAACAACAGGAACGAGTGGAGCAGCAGCAGCTGCAGCAAGAATGCGAACAGGAACAAGAACGGTCCGTGCTAAGCGGCGACGCTTCAGAGGATGAGCAATTTCTGACACAAGCTGAAAAGCTGTTGAATCAATTGTACGGCAAGTCCTGGCAAACGCCGGATGTCATACGCACGCTCAAACGCTCCAGCGGCAGCGGCGGCAAAGCTCCACCTGCGATAGGCCGCACTCCGCTCACCGAGATCAGGCGGCAGCCCAAAGCCCAACGCGCCGCAGCGACCACAGCCAAGAAGGCAGCGACCACAGCCAAGAAGGCAGCGACCACAGCCAAGAAGGCAGCGCCCAACGAGAGCGCACTGGGCGACTTTAGCATATGTATGTACATATTGAACTATGCCCATTCGGATTATGTATATTCAATGATTTTTTAGTCAAGCGCGCGTTGCACTCCACCAAGTTGAATTCGACCCACTTCCCAGAATCTGCCTGCAGTGAGAAGCGACCGAATGGACAGCGCGCACGCACCAACCATGTGCATGAGGAACGCTGGCGCGCCCTCGTCGATACGGACAGTGGAACGGATGCCTCTGATGACGACGATGCGGATGCAACGGGCAGCAGTGAGCCTGATGATGCCCCTGACGGGCATGTCACCTACTTGGACCTTACCAAGACCGAGGTGGAGGTGGTCAGCGATCCCGATGAGCAAATCGAATGTGAGTATAAGAGGGTGGAAGAGAGAGAGAGAGAGAGAGACAGAGGAACGGACAACTCGACATGGCTGTTGATGGTGATCACGAATATGAATACATTATGAATCTCTTCCACGATATATCTTGGATAACATCTGCCCTTACATGCATATTATTCCAATTTTTACAGCGCCCAAATTTCCCAAACGGCTTGACGATATTTTACGGACCTGCCGCGCCAGCGATAAGCCTAAATTGCCTGCCACGCCCAAGCCAACGTCGCCGTCGACGCCGGCGTTGTCAAACCCGACACGAAGGCAGCTATTTACGCCAAATACGGGCTATGAGGACATTAGCTCAGCCAAACGGATTGTGGATCAAGCACTCGACTTGGACAGTTTGGATCAGCTGGAGAACGTCTATTTGCCGGGCTCAACGGTGCACAAGCGTGTGCAGGAGGTCAAAAAGCAGCTGGGCATTGCGGTTGAGTCGCCAAAAGCGAAGCCCATCTTTAAGCTGCCCACGCCGCAAACGGCGCCGCCAGCCAAGTCAGGGGAGCGCGCCAAGAAGGTGCTAAATGGGCTGAGCACGCCAAAAAATATTGCCAGCAAATGTAGCTTTATCAAGTCGCTGGAGCCACAGATCAGTCGAGATCGCTGCGACAATGAGGCGTTCTTCTATCGCGAGAACTTCAGCCGCAACAAAGAGCAGCTGGCGGCACGACTCTACGACATGTTCAACGAACAGATCTTCAATAATGAGCTGAAGGTGCCCATCACCTGGTCGAAGCTGTTGCGCAACACGGCGGGCAGATGCAAAAATAAAAAGAAGTGAGCGATACTTTTATGTAAATATAAACACAGATTACCATGTTCTCCCTTGCAGACTGCTGGAACGCAGCAGCGTGGTGGAGCTGAGTATTAAGGTGCTGACAAGTGCAGATCGATTGCGGTGCACGCTAATCCACGAGCTGTGCCATGCCGCGGCCTGGGTATTCAACGGCGAGGGCGGACACGGTCTCGTTTGGAAGCGCTGGGCACAGCGTGCCAATGAGAAGTTTCCAGATCTCCCACCGATTCGGGTTTGCCACAACTACAACATTGAGTTCAAATACACGTATAAGTGTATAAAATGCAATACATCGTGAGTCCACAAGATGCAATCAAATAATTACTTTATTTAATGGCCATTCCATGTTCAGCTCTCATGCCCATTCGCGTTCGCGCAAGGTGGAGAACTTACGTTGCCGCATTTGCCGTGGACCCATTATGCTGCTCCTGAATAAGAAGGACAAGTCGGGTAATATTGTGCCGACGCCGGTGCGCGAGGCGACAGGATTCGCCAAATTCGTTAAGGATAACTTTCAAAAGCATAAACGTGACAATCTCACAGCGGCGCAGGTGATGCGCATTCTGGGTGCCGAATATGCCAAGGAGAAGGGCAAAGGTCAGCTAACAAAGACGGACGAAGCGGCCGCGCAGGCCTTTATAGTTGATCGAGTGGAAACCTTGACATTAGACAGCGATGAAGATCACTAAGCTACGTACAGCTAAAAGTAGTACGAGATTTTGTATTTCGATATATGGTTTTACAGTTTTATGTATTTTTATACCTATATATTTTATATTTGACGTTGGTTTAATGTAAATTACCATTTAAAGCATTGCTTTCAATTAAAACACACCCACTCTAGATTAACAGTTGGCATTTGATTTGTTATCAGTTTTCAGTGCTGTGCAATTAATCGGCATAACGATTGTTAACCTTAATGTTATCGATATCGCTGAGCATTGACGATTTGTGAAAGACTGGCATCTGTGACGTCACAATTAGCTTAAGTTTTAAGGACTCTGGTTAGTTTTTGAATTAAAAACACGAAAATTAAATTATCATTGAGTGTGGTGCATGTATTAAAGCTGTATGTGGCAAGTAAACACTGTATTTCTCGATTTTATCTTGTTTGCCGCATAGGCAACGCAAGCAATTGTGACATCAACAATAGATTGTCAGTGCGCTGTGCGCTGTCATCACTTACACACATACGCACGCAATCGTAAACATTTTGTTGCAGAACCGAACACGTCAGCTACGCGGATGCGGGTTGATTGACAAACAATTTGTTTTGATCATTCCAAATCAGTTAATTTACTGCTCGAACTACACATAACAGCAAAGTATTTCCAAGTATTCGTTAGTTGATTCAATTACCGCTGCATCAAAATGGTAAGCACACACACAACACACAAACATACATGCACACACGCACACGCGTCTACGTCGGCTATTTTGCTTATCTCATTTACGTTTACTTTAATCCTAGGTACTCATTGCCGCGGCAGTCTGCACAAAAAATGGCAAAGGTAAGTGAATAACTTAAACGATATATTTTTAATGTGTTAACGTCTAACCTTACACTCACACACACACACGCACGCAGTCATATTGTCACGTCAGTTCGTGGAAATGACGAAGGCGCGCATCGAGGGACTGCTGGCTGCATTCCCCAAGCTGATGACCGCCGGCAAGCAGCACACTTATGTGGAAACGGACTCGGTACGCTATGTCTACCAGCCGATGGAGAAGCTCTACATGCTCCTGATAACCACAAAGGCCAGCAACATACTGGAGGATTTGGAAACTCTTCGCCTCTTCTCGAAAGTGGTGCGTGCATTTGTTTACACAATTTTTATTCCCTCGAGATCTACCACTTTTTGCCATTTTGTATTTTCCTACTGAATTTACCGATAAACTCAAACTCCCATGTCCATATAGATTCCAGAGTACAGTCATTCGCTGGACGAGAAGGAGATTGTGGAGAATGCATTCAACTTGATATTTGCCTTTGATGAGATTGTTGCACTTGGCTACAGGGAGAGCGTAAATCTGGCGCAAATCAAGACTTTTGTTGAAATGGACTCGCACGAGGAGAAAGTCTACCAGGCTGTTCGTCAGACACAGGAGCGTGAAGCGCGCCAAAAGATGCGCGAGAAGGCCAAGGAGCTGCAGCGTCAGCGCATGGAGGCCACCAAACGTGGCGGCCCCTCAATGGGTGGCATGGGCGGACGCAGCGGCGGCTTCAGCTCCGACAGCTTCGGCAGCAGCGGCATCAGCAGTGCCAGCGGCGGCAGCGGTGGCAGCGGCGGTGCACCATCCATCGAGATGGAAGCCAAGCATGTGTCCAGCAAGGCACCACAGTCAGTTGAATTAATTCGAAAATCTTGTGTCAATCAATATTTAAATATCCCGTCGTCTATTGCAGAAAGCCGGCATCACGCAATGCGCTCAAATTGGGTGGCAAGTCCAAGGACGTGGATAGTTTTGTTGATCAGCTGAAGAGCGAGGGCGAGAAGATTGCCAATCTGGCACCAGCAGTTGCTGCGGGCAGCTCCGGCGCAGCGGCCAGTGCCAGTGCAGCGGCAAAAGCCAAAATCTCTGCGGACATTCATACAGAAAAGTAAATCCTCAAATTCACTAAACTGCTCAAATTATCGAGGATCCATTTTTGCAGTGTACATCTCAAAATGGAGGATAAGCTGGTGGTGCGCCTGGGACGTGACGGTGGCGTGCAACAGTTCGAGCTCAGCGGCTTGCTGACGCTGCGCATTACCGATGAAAGTAGAGCACGGATCAGGGTGTTGCTGGCCAATAATGATACACAGGGTATACAGCTGCAGACCCATCCAAATGTTGACAAGGAACTATTCAAATCGCGCGCCATGATCGGACTCAAGAACCCAGGCAAGCCGTTCCCTCTCAATACCGACGTAGGCGTACTCAAGTGGCGCTTCATTACGCAGGACGAATCGGCTATACCTCTGACCAGTAAGTGACATTTGCCTATAGAAGAGATGTGTGCTTTACTTTCCATACTAATATTTCTGTCTCTGTTCTTATCTGTCTGTCTTTCTTCTTTCCATTGCATAGTTAACTGTTGGCCTTCGGACAATGGAGAAGGCGGCTGCGATGTGAACATTGAATACGAACTGGAGGCACAGCATCTGGAGCTGCAGGATGTTGCCATAGTTATACCATTGCCGTAAGTAATTATATTTTGGTATCCTTTAGATTATCTTATTGATCTTCCCTATATTGCAGCTTAAATATCCAGCCTTCGGTAGCCGAATACGATGGCACCTACAAGTATGATGCTCGCAAACATGTTTTGCTGTGGAATATTCCCATCATTGATGCGGCCAACAAGTCCGGCTCGATGGAGTTCAGCTGCAGTGCCTCCATTCCAGGCGACTTCTTTCCGTTGCAAGTGACATTCGTCTCAAAGACGCCGTATGCGGCCATAAGCGCCCTAGATGTCGTACAGGTGGATAATAATGAATCGGTCAAGTATTCAAGCGAAACGATTCTGTTTGTGGAAAAATATGAAATTGTTTAAACTATATACACACACACGCAATGAAGGGCAGATACACACGCAAACAAACACACACACACACACACACAGAGTTACACTATCAGCAGACGTAGTATACCTAGAATCGAAACAATTTATGTACGATTATAGAAATGTTAAAACTATGTTTACATACATATATATATTTCCACATAAATGTACGCATCAAGCCGCGATGCACTTGTGAAGTCGCAATACGGCCAACAATAATTCCAAATGGCATGTGCTCCACAGCAATCATCATAGAGTATATACATATATAACACAATATAAAATACATAAATATTTTTATTAACTGCGCGGAATGCAGCATATAATTTGAGTTTAAAAACAAATTGTTAATTATAGTTGGCATTGTAATACCGAATTTTGTTTACTGCGCTCGCAGGCAAGCAAATTGCAAGAAAATATGCCAATAATTTGCGTATTTTTTTATGTTAAATGCTATAAACAAAAAAAAAACTGCTTAGTTTTTCTTAAAATATTTTTTAAAACAAAATTTGCAGAAATCCAGATTTGAGGAAGCGACTAAAATATCAATAAATTTGCAATCGCCGATCCTGTTAAAATTTGCATTTTATTTATACTTAAAATATTGTTGATTCCGGAACAACAATAATAATTGTTGATTGGAACTTTCCCAATTGGAGTCTGATAAGTTATCGACATCGCTCTAGCAAGATTTTGATTGTAACGAATATGGATATGTATTTGAGCAAAAAATCGCACAATCGAATTTACATACATTTTTATCAACTTAATATAATCACTTTTGTTCGTTGCGAACCGATCTTAATTGGCGGTTTCTAATTTCAAATGTTATTCAAATTGGACAAGTGCTGCAAGGTGCTGTGTTTGGTTTATCGCACTATGCAGCACTGCCGGTAACAGTTGACAGCCCCATTTTGCGATAGCCAGTGTTATCGATAGTCAAGTTCTGAACTAGCATTGTTTTGGTTTTTCTTTGTTTTCAGTTTTACAATTGTTGGTCAATTTGCAATTGGACAAATGGAGCAGCAGCTAGAAAAAGTGTTGAGTGAAATGTACGTATTGCATAACCATTACTACCATTACTAACTTGCCTCTTATGCAGCGTAACACAACAAGACACCGTGGGTGCGTTACTGGCGAATCGGCAAGGGCTCTGCTTGGGCGGTGAGTACAATAAAAAAGAAGTGCATACATGTGTGTAATCCGTTATTATTTGCTTTTGTAATGCGGCCCAGCCAAAGGCAATATCAATCCCCATGTATCTGGAATTGGTACGGCCATATCCGAGCAGGTGGCCAAGCTGGAGCCGACTAGCACTGTGCCAGCCACAGTTTGTCTGTACAGCGGCAATAAGTAAGTACTAGCTAACTAACTGATAAGTAAACAATCTCCATTAAAATGATTAAACTTACAGGCGCTGTCTTATACAAAAGGATGGGGAAATAACGGGAATCATTTATAAGCAAACAACAACAGCATCGACATCAACCGGCAATTAGCATGCTGTCGAGTTCCTCGTGTCTTGGGCCAAATTGAGACAAATTTCTTCCAAATGCGCTCGAGTATTGCAGCAATAGCTGGGATAGCCATAAAGCGACACACACACAGCCTTAGCAACACACACACACACACACAGCCACAGCGATTGTTAACTTGAGCTGCAGTTTTTGTTGATTTGTTTTAAATGGCGTTTATTGGCTTGTTTAATTTCTATTTTTTTTTTTCTTAAATAATTATAATGTATTATGGTTCTACTGTTGCATAGCGTTAAGCCAAATCGATTATGTGCTCTAAACTAAAGTTTAATTCAACATTTAGGTAGCATGTGTATATATACATTTGGTACGATTAGGCTTAAAAGTGATCAAAAAGCATAATTACACATACATACACACATTTATATATACATATTATACAAATACATTGTAACCGCCGAAAACAATCATTGTACAAATTGTTTAAATTGACTGCCGTTGGCATTGAACTTGTTTCAGCCGCATCAATTGGGCTGCCTAATGCCGTTAAAGCTTTGTTACATAATTGCAGTTTATAAGTCCCATTGCCATTAAAATAGATTATTCAATTACCATTGCGTGACGTCGACAAACGTTTAATGAGCTTTAAACTATAAATCCAAAGGTCAACTCTTCCGAATGGTTATGGATGCAATGGATTTTTGATCAAGTGTTTATAGTCAGATGTGATCTTTATATTGCTTGCTATTTATGTTGTCTTATTAGAAAGTAATTTTTTTGCCAGCCTCTAAACTCTTCAAAACTTCCAAAAGCAGGCACACCAAACGTTTCACATAACTATGATCCAATATGCGAGTCTTATAGCTTAAGTAGTCATTCATCTAAGTTCCTAGCTTATAATAATAATAATAAAAGTACGTGTGAATCTATATGTATGTTGGTAATTACTCAATCATAACGGCGCCTGTTCGTGCTGCACTCAAGCCTCTTTGAATTTTCCGGATTGAGCAACATTGAGGAAATGCAGCCCACCTACGTCATAAAGCTAAGCAACATCAAAAAATATATATGATATTTTATCGTCATGCAATATGCAACATGCAACAATCTTTCAGAGCCGCCAAACAAATTGCCGTTAATTCCAGCCCACAAGTTTTTAATTTACTTTTTCTACAATTTTTTATACATTTTTTATGTTTGTAAGTTTATATTTTGAAAGTCGTATGACAACATGACCACCCATCACCAACGTGAAACACAGGTCTCTGATGCACAAATTAAGTTTTACTGCCGATTTTGGCTAAATGTTCACTTAAGTGCGCTGTTGGATTACCTGGCGCCAGGTACCACACGGCCCCAAGGGTGTATGCAACTAAACAAGTTTCTTATTGCCGCTGTCAATTGGTACGTACTTTATGACGTGAAAATAAAACCTATGTTTTATCTGGTGCTCAAACAAAAACCTATAGAAGAAAATGCCGGCGTTAGAGTCATTTGAATTCATGAAAATCGTATAGAAAGGCGATTTGTAAGTTAAGACTGTGTTGAAAACGGAATAGAGAGTAAGGGAGAAGGAGAGCAGGGAAGGAGAGATAGAGGGAGAGAGCGAGTGGGAGACCAGTATAGAAACTGAAAGAAAGCAAGAGAGAGAGAGAGAGAGAGAGAGAGAGAGAGAGAGAGAGAGAGAGAGAGCGGCAAAGACATGCTAGCTATGACTTTTCATTATATTGTAGTTCTAAGTATAACTAATAATAAAATAAAAATTATTTTAGTATGATTTGGAAGCATGTTTCTAAATGGAAGAAATAAAATATTTTAATTTGTAAATATCGTTTATTCCGGCCGGTCGAATTGCCGCAAGTTCACGTTCCAAAAAACAAAAAAAACATATGTATGTAAAACATATGCAAATACCTAATATATGGGTGCAATTATTGAGCAAAGGACAATATAGGGGCAATATTTGTTGGGCTTCAGCATATAATACGTATGCAAATACTTCATACTTCATTTGTACAAATAGCCAGACTTGAATCGATATTTGTGCAAATGCGAATAACCTATGAGCTATACAAATTTTCTTTATCAAAAAGCAATGTTTAAACAAGCTTTGTGCGAATTTATTTGCACGCGCCTATGTACATAATTATGTAGCTGCACATGCATATGCATATGCATATGCATATGTGTATGTGTATATGTGTATGTATGTGTGTGTATATTTGCTTTTCGGCGGCTTACTTGTGGCACGGCGACAGCAGCCTTGAACTTTCACCAACTGTCCAGGGGCATTTGTTTTGTTTTTGTTTCTTTTTTTACAGTGTGGGGCAGCCCACTTGTCTGTGGCCCAGAAACCGAAGCGGAGACAGTGTGTGTGAGTGTGCGTGTGTGCGTGTGTGTGTGTGGGTGTGAAAGGTAAATACGCGGACAACTCATCAAATACATGCACACGTACACGCACCCGTCTATAAAACTCGTTGTATATTCGAATTAAAATAACAAAGCTGATAAACAAAATGAAATTGGCAGCCAAGGCGGGTTTATTTAGCCGGCCAAAGCCACCGCGAAAGCCTTCAACTTGACTAAGCGCTCAATCGAGTTCAGGAAAACGTTGACGCGCGGGCGCCGACAGACTTGAACCAGCTTGGGCCACAAAAACCAGCTAACAGCTAACAAGTTGCAGCACTTTCGTTTTCAAGAAGCTGCGTGCCGTCAGCGATATTATGCAGATGAAAGAAGCCAATGAATCGATTGGATAAGTTATAGTTGAGTAGCAAACCAGCAGCAGGCAACAGTGATTAGCTAATAGCTGTCAAGTTCCACCACTTTCGCTAGCAAGAAGCGTAACAGAAAAAAAGAAGCCAACGAATTTATTACATAAGTTCAAGTTGAGAAGAAAACTTGTAACAGGCAACATCAAATATATGTAACGACTAACAAATTTGCAACACTTTTGCTTTCAAGAAGTTGCCTGACCCAACCATAACAGAAGAAAGAAGCCAATGAGTCGATTACATAAGTTAAAGTTGAGAAGGAAAGAATGTTGAGAAACCCACAAGTTGCTACACTTTCGCTATTAAAAAGCTACCTGACACTGTCAATAATATGCACTGCAAAGAAGCCAACAAATTGATTAGATAAGTTAAAGTTGAGGGAAAAACCAGCAGGTCACTTCGCATAACTAACAAGTTGAAGCAATTAGAATTTAAAGAAGCTACCTGTCATGGCTAATAATATGCACAAGAAAGTAGCCAATGAGTCGATTAGATAAGTTGAAGTAGCGAAGAAAACTCGTTGCACCACTTTCGCTCTCAAGAAGCTGCCGGGCTGCCCCAACATAACCGACGAAAGAAGTAACAAATCGTTTAGATAAGTTAAAGTTGAGAAGCATAGAAGCGAAAGACAACAGCTAATAGCCGACAATTTGCTGCACTTTCGCCATTAAGAAGCTGCCTGGCATTCCCAATGCTAAGCAGTAGAAAGAAACCAACACATCGATTAGATAAGTTCAAGTTGAGAAGAAAAGCAGCAACAGCTCCGCTTCATATCGAAATCAATCGAGTTTCAGTGCCTTTCCCTTTTGGTAAAAGCAACAACAAAACAAAATTAACAGCGAAAGTGAGAAAGACGGCCGGCCCAAGGTTCGGCTGCGGCCCAAGCTGGGGCAACTGCGATATGCTGCACACACAAGCGTGTGTGTATACATACATACATATGTAAGTGTGTATAAAAGCTGTGTGGGGATTGTCGCGAGTTTTCCAAAAATAACAACAAGAAAAATGGAAAAACAAAAAAAATCGTTGCTCGAGTCTTGCAGCATAGTTTTCAAATAGTTTTCATTAGATTTGTGGCTGGAAATTGCTGACTCTTGACCACATGCTCATTTTCACAGCATTGCGCGGCTGATTTATACGCGCTTGGCTATAGATCAAGCACATATATATGCATATAATGTCTATATATCTATATATGTATGTATATACGCAGCAATAGTTAAAAACTGAAGAATTATGTGACCACTTTTGCCCCTAGACGACTTACGCTTGAGTTATGCCAAACATAAACATTTTTTTCATGGCAATATTTTTCAACGACATGATAAATCTTTCAGTTTTTTTTATTTTTTTTTTTATGTATATTAGCATCCACGATCGAAGGCCCGGCGTGCGTTGAACATACCTCCATAAAAAGCATAAGCATATCCATTGAAGATCAAGCTACGTGACTTTGATTTTCTTTGCTCCTTTTTGATGCGTTCGTAAACGTTTTACTGGCAGCTCTTTTGCTAAATACTTTTCAATCCTTTTTTCGAATTTTAACCTAAGTTTAGAAACTTTTTCAACTTTTCAAACTTGATGAATCGCATCTAATATGTGTCTGGCTATCCAAAAGTTGACTAGCTTTGGAATGACGCATTTGGTATATGGTTATATGTATATTGGACGTATTAATCGATTTCGATTGAATGCAAATTGCATTATTCAGAATATCATGTATGGAAAATTATGTCATGTGGCCCGCTAAACGCCAAACTTAGCCGCACACAGAAAGCTTTGGCTTTACAAATAATCACGTCACCAAAGACCCGAAATGACGACATTTGGCCGGCAACGTCAGCTTTAGTTTCAAATATGTACATACTGGTCAATACGCATACATATTTATGTACATATTTTGTTGTATTTGGTATTGTTTACAATTCTTTTTTGTATTTGATTTCGTTTGGTTTCAATGTTGTATAATGGACAGCATGGGCGCCAGCAATTGCAGTTGCTTTGCGCTTCCATGACAAATCACGTTCGAGTTATCACATTTGAAATGAAATTCAATGAATACAATTTTTAATTAAATTGTCCCACAGAACTAGTTATTTATCAAATTTAAATATTAATAAATATACATACTCGATTCTATTACGACATTTGCGACGCCAAAAAATGCCTGCGCATATGATTCATGCCGAGCTCGTCTTTTCCATATTTGGTAAATTCGAAAATTTCTTGTATTTATTTTACACTCTTTTACAATACAGACGCACAGTTGCTTATGAATCACAAGCTCGGTTTTAGCCATATGTTTCATAAAAAGTTTCCTCAAGTTGAAATATTCATGTGTCAGATTGATTTTGATTAACGCCTTTGCGTTTGCATGTTTTCAACATGCGCGCCACATATCCTAACCTTGC